TAGAAAGTAAACGTACTCTAAGCTATCTAAATGGTAAGGGACCTTATTAATAAGTCTTCTGAACTTCCATTACTACCTTGGAGTCTCTGGTTAAGCTCTAACAATGGTTGTTTAAAGTGACCAGGGGCCTTGGCTTTAGCTGCTCTCCAGTGGAAGGATGTGCACCAGCAGTGCGGGTGTGAATCTCGAAAAGGAGGGGCAGGGACAGGGCAGGAGATGGGCATCAAGTAATGACATAGGGATATCAATCACTCCCAAGGTGGGGAAAGCTGCCTGCAGCAAGCCTGGGCTGTCTTCAGTCTTTTGTCTGGGTGGAGTGTGGGTGACAACTTCGAACCCTGGCTCCCTCTCACCATGTCACTGATGTGCACCTTCTAAAACCACTCCATCTTGCTGGCATTGCCAGAGGGAGGAACTGTCATTTCACAACTTGAGATGGAAGAAGGGCACTGTCCTAGCTACCACTACCTCTCTCAGGAAAGGTAACTCGCTTTACAGATTGGTAAAGGTCTTGCAGCCTCTGGGACTACCAGCAAAGAGCTTTCAAAGGCACAAAATTCTTCTTTTCGTTGAAGGAAGAGAAAAATGCTTATAACAAAGCTGAATTATCTCAGAGAACAAGTATGTGCTTTTAGCATTAAGTACGACAAGAGAGCTCAGCGCTGTACAGAAATAATGGAAGGAGGTCCACAGAGCTTAGTGCTAAAGATCTAGGCTTTTTCAGGTTGCTACACTGGAAGTTAGGAGGCCTCTTTTTCTCCACTTTTCACACCAAGGGCCACACACGGTCTATTTCTTCACCATCCTTCCAGACACACACACACCACCTCCAGGTCATCTGGAGATTAAGAGCCATAAATCCCACTGTCTCTGCACCATAATGCAAAGAGAAGTACCTTCTGCCCTATTCCAGGGTGCTCCTGGTGCACTCCAGCCTCTAGGGAGAGTAGTGCCAACCTGAAACACAATAATTGCTGAAGAAGTCAGGTATGGTTACCCACCCACATGAGCTAACTAGATTCAAACTCTATGTAAAGGTACTTCTCCTGGAGAGGAAAAAAGCCTCAAGAGACGAATATAGAAGTAATCATGAAGAAAATGTACATAACCATATAAACTGATATGTTGAGCTTCCATCTATGTGTGCTGAACAAGTATTTCATCACTATCATTTTCTAAATAACTGAAACAGTCCTGGTTTTGGAAGATTCTTCTCTATAATTCAATTATACCATAGTAAAAAAAATGTTTGTTTCAGAAAGTTATTAATGAAAGTATTATTCCCATTACTTCTGATTCATCAGCCACTACTGTTGTATTATCTGCATTTATTATTTGTGGTAATCATGCATGATGTCTTAATAGCTTTCTAAAGCCAGAGAATATTATTTCAAGAGCAGAAATGACAAATTTCATCATGGATTTCACAAGGTTACATTCATTTTTTTAACATAACAAAATAAAAATTATCCCAGATTTGTTAAAAAATGCTGAATATATCACCAGTCAGGACTCATCATAGTGCATCAACAAGTGGTTACAATGATGTATTTATTTTTAAGACTGCATGACTGGGGGAAAAAACCCTATACAAACAATCATTTATTTTCAGATTAATCTCTCCCATTTGTGTTTTCAACTGCACATATTTGCTTTCTCTCTCTCTCCTTTGCTTTTGTTTTCACAGGTACCCACACAAATTGCTTCCAAGCCAAGGTCTAGGTGCTAAGCCTCAACTTGAAGTAGACTTTAATGGCAGTTGTAAGTCCCTGGTAAACAAGGTTTACAAAAAAAAGGCAGAAGTTCCATTATAAAGCAGTGCTGCTAAGCACCACTATAATTTTTCTGCTTTTATTTCTCATAACTATTGCATTTTTTTAAATTATGACACAATCTTGTTTACCCAGAACTGCCTGGTAAATATAAAGAATACACCAGCTAACACCGTAGGTGCAGAGGACACGTATACTATGCAGTGACCAGAAAGAATGGCTCTTACAATAATCTCCGTGGTGATAAAGCCACAGAAATGTATCAATTCCTTTACACTCCTTTTGCAAAATGTACTCTCAGAATTACCTAACACCCTTGCATTAACTGCATAATTAATTTAAGCAGTTATCATATGACTGCTATAAGAGGAGTCAGGCTAAAAAAATCTACACGTATGAAAGTCAGAGATGGAGGCTTAACAGACACTGCTTAAATTATCCATGGTCTGTGGATAAAACAAAGCAGTTTGTCACTAGCACCTTTCTTAAACTAATGTTTCATAAACGATAAAAGAAATAAGCTTTTGTGGCAGGCTCCTGTTTTGGTTTGTACGACCTTGCCCCACTCAGTTTCTAGGACACGACTGGCTCCTCAGATATTCAAAAACATAAGTGATAAAGAACTAAGAGCAACACAAATAATATTGCAATAAAGCAAAAGCTTTCTCAAGCAAACAAGATTGATGTGAAATGCCATAGTGAGTAGGAAAAGAAAAAGGATGAACTTTAATTTGAACTGAAGATTTCAAATAGGCTACTGCAGAGATGAAGAAAAATAAATTTTAAAATACAACAGGGAACAGTTAGAGATCCCACGTTTAATATTATCAAGAGATTTTCCCAGAATAAGAAGCCTGGCATGCCATATGTCTTCAAAGGAAGAAAAGTGGGCTTGTCTGTAAGATCATCTGCACTCTGCTTTTCTCCAGTGGAGTTCTATTGACTTAAGTGAAATTACGTCAGATATACAACAAGGTACCTAACATCACAGTTGGGGCTAACGTTCTTTTTAAAATAATGACTGCAATATTCAGTAGGCAATTAAAGAAACTCATTTCAGACATGTAAATTACACATTTACCCTTTATTATTTGTAATGAATCAACTGGCTGTGCCAGTTAGAATACTTAGAAAGACTTCTTGAGCACACCGGCTTGCAAGAAGTTTCAGTGATGTGTAGTCACTTAGGTCCAGACTGAGGTTCACAGAATAACCTCAGACCCCTTGCCTTACATTCTACTGCCTACATTTTAGCAAGAACTAAAATTCATGAGTAGACATCTAAAGAGAATGAAGGATTATTTGGTGCTATGCCTTGAGTAGGATCATGAGGGAGACTATCCCAAAATCCAGGACACTAAAGCAACCTCAGAGTGGACACGTGACAATCACATGGCATACAGTACAGTGTCCATGTGAATGTCTGCCCCTCCCTTGTGCTAGTATGATCTATGGTATTTCTGTATTTCCAACAGAAATCAGTTTTCCATTCTTGAATGCATTTCTATTAAATACTGAATAGGTAAGCTCCTGTCCATGGGAATTTTATTGTCACATGTGACAATGGTACAGGCCTGGGCAGGAACTATTTATTTTGCATAGAAACTAAGACGTATAGAGGGCAAAATTAACAAAGCACTGACTATATGGATAGCCTATGGAGCCCATCAGTGGTTCACACCTCCAGCTACACAGGAAGATCAAGAATTATTGACAAAAGTCACAGCTGCTGCCATAGCATCCCCAGCAATAGGTGATACATGAGTGCCATGTTATATTGGCCATGCTGTCATTAACACCATATCAAGATTTTCCCTAAGCTGTTTTTACACCAGGGACATCCTGCTACAGGCCCAGGAGGCAGCTACAGGAAACCTGGGACAGTCTCTCCCCCTCGTGGTGAAAGCCCTAAAACCCTAAAAGTACTTCAAGGAGCTTTCTCTTCCTGAAGCTTTACTCAAAACTTTGAGAGTCTACTTAAATCACACGGTTTCATTTTCCTAATCTGTCCGCAGCACTGCTTGTGGTATCTTATAGCTGTTCTGTCCATAAAACCAGTAATGCAAACATATGTTTTAACCAGTCTGTAAAGCAGGATTGGGATCCCACTGAAAAAGAATGAGACACAAATGAATGCAGAGCACAACTGTGGCAAGGATTCTCCAGAATTTCCTTCTGTACTAACCTGACTTTTTCTCACCTCAATTTTACACAAGTGAATAGTCCAAGATCCTACTAACACCAAGATCCTCAGAAGAATGGAAATTCATCAAGAAAGTATTACTTCAATAATAATGCCACTATAGGACTTTGCAGAGATATGGAACACAACACTGCAATTAGGTTACACGAAGTCTTTTGGACACCTATTTCCATTCCACTGTCACAAGACATTTCACAGCACATGTCCCATACTCTGAGCTCCCATGCCTGCCACCAGGCCTGACTCCCAGGGCAAGGGAGACAGACAGTGCTTGGCTCATGCAGAGACAACATAGCCACAAAGGCTAAAAACATTACATTCAGGGAATGAAAACATTACCTCAGCAAGTCGTGAATGCTTGTGAACATTCTCTCCTTTCTGCACGCTCGGAGCAAGCTGCTGCAGCACACCTCGGCTGCTTGTGAGGGCACGGGTCAAGCGAGCAAACTTTCCCCAACCTTGAGAAAACATGCAAGATTATACACATTACCAAAAAAATCCGCAAGTGTACTACATAAAGCCTCTCATAACTGGGGAAAATAAAAAAAAAAAAAACAATCAAAGAAACAAACAAAACGTTAAAACACAGCAATCTGCTTTAATATTAGCCACAACGGAGTACAATTTAACCAAGTACCAGATAAAAGCAAGTCACAAAATACGTGCCAGGGTGGTGAAGTAATAAAACCCATGACTGCAGTGACTTTATACTCAATGGCTCTACAAGAGTGCTGTTACATGAACTGCATCTGTTGTAAGGATAAATGTCCACTTCACCATAATCTTCTACTAAATCCAATGGCCAGATTTGGATCTCACAGCACTGCAGAAGACACTCCAGACTAATCAAGATGTAAGACTAGAATCACATACAATGAAAACTACAGTTGCCTGTAACAGGAATGATACCTGATGTATCAAAGCATAGATCTGGCATAAACAGAGAAATATACATAAGATAATAAAGAGCAGAGCAGACAAAGCAAAACAAAACCATTAATTTTATCCTCTCTAAACAAAAAGGGGAAATACAGAAATAGATTTTCTCAAACTCTAATAAAACATTTAGCAGCTTCTGGCAGATGAGTTATATGCTGAATTTTAATTCACAATAATTTTTTACATTTATTTCAAATACCCCTCAAAATAGAAGACCTTGACTGACAGTCACAAGAGCTAGTTACAATCATAACCCTTATGAGCAGTACTTTGCCATAACAGAAAGTCACGCAGAGTATGCATCTGGATATTTTTGGTACTCTGAAAGGAAAGTATCAGTGTATTTAGCCCCAATCTTAAAAAATGCTAGCACCACCTAGGAACTGTTGAGCAGTCTAACCTCCTACACCAAATAAGGATGCTTGGCACTTTGCACATTCAGTTCTTAATGAGAACCTGGTTCTGGAAGAAGTTCCCTCCACAAGATGGCTTTATCACCAAAGGAAATAATACCATTAGCAGTGACTGTTTTTAAAGACCAGTCGAAAGTTTAGCCTGCAAGTGATCCATGACAAGTACAGGAATATGAGTGGTCAAAATACTACTGGATGGCCGAGCCCAGAGAGTCATGGTGAATGGAGTTAAGTCCAGGTGGCGGCCAGCCACCAGTGGTGTTCCCCAGGGATCGGTTTCGGGGCCTGTCCTGTTTAACATCTTTATTAATGACCTGGATGAGGGGATTGAGTACTCCTTCAGTAAGTTTGCAGATGATACCAAATTGAGCGGGTGTGTTGACCTCCTTGAGGGTAGGAAGGCTTTGCAGAGGGATCTGGACAGGCTGGACCGATGGGCTGAGGCCAATTGTATGAGGTTCAATAAAGCCAAGTGTCAGGTCCTGCACTTTGGTCACAACAACCCCCTGCAACGGGGGCAGGGGGGTCAGGCTCAGGGCAGAGTGGCTGGAAAGCTGCCCAGCAGAGAGGGACATGGGGGTGGTGGTTGACAGCCGGTTGAACATGAGCCAGCAGTG